TCATAGCTCTCATATAAGGTCCACTTCCGAAAATCACCTAAACGCACATATTTCTTTGATGAGTAAAGCTATTGTGATAAAAGTCGAGTTAAATGTGTTTTGTATACATACAAATCATTCTACAAAATTTTTTACGGATCGGTCCATTATTGGTCATAGCTCCCATATAAGGCCCACTTCCGGAAATCATTTAAAAGCTCATATATAATTGTCAAACAAAGCTATCTTGATAAAATTCGACACAAATATGTTTAGTCTAAATATGAATCACTCTACGAAATTTTTTCCGGATAGGCCAATAATTGGTCATAGCTCCCATATAAAGTCCATTTCCGAAAATCACTTAAACGCATATATTTCAATGAATTATAAAGCTATTGGGATAAAATTCGACACAAATATGTTTTGTATACATACAAATCATTTTACAATTTTTTTTACGGATCGGTCCATTATTGGTCATAGCTCCCATATAAGGCCCACTTCCGAAAATCACTTAAAAACACATATTTCATTGTCAAATAAAGCTATCGTGATAAAATTCGACATAAATAGATTTTGTCTAAATATGAATTACTCTACTAAATTTTTTCCGAATAGGCCCATAATTGGTCATAGCTCCCATATAAGGTCCACTTCCGAAAATCACTTAAACGCATATATTTCATTGAATTCTAAAGTTATCGGGATAAAATTCGACAAAAATATGTTTTGTGTACATTAAAATCATTCCACCAAATTTTTTACGGATCGGTTCATTATTGGTCATAGCTCCCATATAAGGCCCACTTCCGAAAATCACTTAAAAGCACATATTTCATTGTCAAATAAAGCTATCTTCATAAAATTCGACACAAATTTGTGTCGACTAGACTAGACTAGACTAGACTAGACTATAGACTAGACTATAGACTAGACTATAGACTAGACTATAGACTAGACTATAGACTAGACTATAGACTAGACTATAGACTAGACTATAGACTAGACTATAGACTAGACTATAGACTAGACTATAGACTAGACTATAGACTAGACTATAGACTAGACTAGACTATAGACTAGACTATAGACTAGACTAGACTATAGACTAGACTATAGACTAGACTATAGACTAGACTATAGACTAGACTATAGACTAGACTATAGACTAGACTATAGACTAGACTATAGACTAGACTATAGACTAGACTATAGACTAGACTATAGACTAGACTAGACTATAGACTAGACTAGACAATAGACTAGACTATAGACTAGACTATAGACTAGACTAGACTAGACTAGACTAGACTAGACTAGACTAGACTAGACTAGACTAGACTAGACTAGACTAGATTAGACTATACTAGACTATACTAGACTATAGACTAGACTATAGACTAGACTATAGACTAGACTATAGACTAGACTAGACTATAGACTAGACTAGACTATAGACTAGACTATAGACTGGACTATAGAATAGACTATAGAATAGACTATAGACTAGAGTATAGACTAGAGTATAGACTAGTGTATAGACTAGACTATAGACTAGACTATAGACTAGACTATAGACTAGACTATAGACTAGACTATAGACTAGACTATAGACTAGACTATAGACTAGACTATAGACTATACTATAGACTAGACTATAGACTAGACTATAGACTGGACTATAGACTGGACTATAGTCTAGACTATAGACTGGACTTTAGACTAGACTATAGACTATACTAGACTATAGGCTAGACTATAGAGTAGACTTTAGACTAGACTTTAGACTAGATTTTGAACTACAAATAGACTAGACTTTACTCCACCAGCCTAGACTATAGCCCAGACTTTGGACTAGACTTTAGACTAGGCTACAGATTAGATTTTAGACTAGACTTTAGACTAAACTATAAACTAGGCTATAGACTAGTCTAAGTAGTCAATGTGGACTACTTATCAAAAGTCTATAAGTTAGAAAAAATACCGAAAATGGCATGGGGGTACCGCGGTATTTTTCGATATCAAAAGTACTAAAGTACTGAATTTTCCATTTGTTATACCCTCCACCACCATCAGTGGTGATAGAGGGTATATATAAGTTTGTCATTCCGTGTGTAACACCAAGAAATATTCGTCTGAGACCCAACAAAGTATATATATTCTGGGTCCCTATGAAATTCTGAGTCGATTTAGCTATGTCCGTCTGTCTGTCTGTCTGGTTAAAACACGCTCACGTTAAAAGTAAGCAAAAGAAATCAGCCAAATTCACTAAGAATATTCATTATTGTCCTAAGCAGTTTGGTATTGAAAATCAGCAAAATCAGTTCACAACGTAAAAAGTTATAAGTAAAAATTTCAGACTACCTCGAAAAAAATTACGGTTTTTTCATAATTCTTTTGAAGTTTTCTCGGAAACTACCAAAGATATTTCGATGAATTTTGTCACACATTATTTTTTCAGGGCAGTAATCAATTATGTTCAAAATCTTTACAATCGATCCAGTATTTCCCATAGCCCCCATACAAAGGTATATATTCCCGGAAATTAGTTTATCGTTAATAACTCCCTCAAATATATCGGTATCAACACAAAATGTTGTACATGCAAATATAATATGAATAGAAATCATACTATCAACGCAGATGTCAGTCGGTCCACAATTGGTCATAGCTCTCATATAAGGTCCACTTCCGAAAATCACCTAAACGCACATATTTCTTTGATGAGTAAAGCTATTGTGATAAAAGTCGAGTTAAATGTGTTTTGTATACATACAAATCATTCTACAAAATTTTTTACGGATCGGTCCATTATTGGTCATAGCTCCCATATAAGGCCCACTTCCGGAAATCATTTAAAAGCTCATATATAATTGTCAAACAAAGCTATCTTGATAAAATTCGACACAAATATGTTTAGTCTAAATATGAATCACTCTACGAAATTTTTTCCGGATAGGCCAATAATTGGTCATAGCTCCCATATAAAGTCCATTTCCGAAAATCACTTAAACGCATATATTTCAATGAATTATAAAGCTATTGGGATAAAATTCGACACAAATATGTTTTGTATACATACAAATCATTTTACAATTTTTTTTACGGATCGGTCCATTATTGGTCATAGCTCCCATATAAGGCCCACTTCCGAAAATCACTTAAAAACACATATTTCATTGTCAAATAAAGCTATCGTGATAAAATTCGACATAAATAGATTTTGTCTAAATATGAATTACTCTACTAAATTTTTTCCGAATAGGCCCATAATTGGTCATAGCTCCCATATAAGGTCCACTTCCGAAAATCACTTAAACGCATATATTTCATTGAATTCTAAAGTTATCGGGATAAAATTCGACAAAAATATGTTTTGTGTACATTAAAATCATTCCACCAAATTTTTTACGGATCGGTTCATTATTGGTCATAGCTCCCATATAAGGCCCACTTCCGAAAATCACTTAAAAGCACATATTTCATTGTCAAATAAAGCTATCTTCATAAAATTCGACACAAATTTGTTTTGTCTTTATATAAGTCACTCTACGAAATTTTTTCCGGATAAGCTCATAATAGGTCATAGCTCCCATATAAGGTCCACTTCCGAAAATCAATTAAACGAATATATTTCATTAAATTCTAAAGCTATTCGACTTGAATATGTAATGTGTACATATAAATCATTCTACCACTTTTTCCCCGGATCGGTCCATTATTGGTGATAGCTCCCATATAAGTCCCACTTCCGAAAATTACTTAATCGCACATATTTCATTGTTAAATAAAGTTATCTTGATAAAATTCGACACAAATATGTATTGTCTTTATATGAATCACTCTACGAAATTTTTTCCGGATAGGCACCCATAGAGGGTCCACATACGAAAATCAATTAAACGCATATATTTCTTTGAATAATAAGGCTATCGGGATGAAGTACGACTTGAATATGTTTTGTGAGCATATAAATCATTCTACCAAATTTTTTCCGGATTGATCCATATATTGTAGTAGCTCCTATATAAGGTCCACTTCAAAAAAATCACTTAAACGCACATATTTCATTATCAAATAAAGGTATCTTGATAAAATTCGACACAAATATGTTTTGTGTAAGGTCATAGCTCCTATACATATAAAGTCCACTTCCGAAAATCACCTAAACGCAAACATTTCATTTCAAAAATATGTTTTGTGTAAGGTCATAGCTCCTATACATATAAAGTCCACTTCCGAAAATCACCTAAACGCAAATATTTCATTAATTAATAAATCTATTGTAGTAATCATTATACTAAATCATTATACTAAATTTTTTCTTTATCGGTTGATAATTGGTCACAACTCCCATATAAGGTCCATTTCCGAAAATTACTCAAATGCACTTGATAATCAAAGTTATCGGGATAAAATTCGACATAAATGTTTATTTTGTATATATAAATCATTCTACGGATTTTTTTCTTCCGAATCGGTCCATAGGTTGTCTTAGCTCCCATATAAGGTATACTTCTGAAAATCACTTAATATCACTTAATTCGTAATTAAATGATTATATCCGGATAAAATTAAAAATGAGTATGTTCTGTGTACAGATATATCATTATATTATGTTTTCAAACTGGCCTATTAATATACATTTTTCTCGACCTAATTAAAATTAGTTTGACATATGCATAAATGTTAGTACCCTCAATAAGGAAACAAAAATTTCGCCAAGTTATCTAAAAATTAGATAGTTAAATGGGTCTCAATGAAAAGTAGCTTGCTGGTGGAGGGTATTTAAGATTCGGCAGAGCCGAATATAGCACTCTAACTTGTTTTTCATTACATTAGTACTTTTCAGTTTAAAGTTATACTGAAAAAAGTACGTATATTTGAACAAAATGTTCCTTCCCCGATCCAAATGTAGAATTTTATTATAAAACGAGAGAAAGAGATGAAATAAAAACAAAATTCGAAAAAAATATTGTTTGTTTGACTGACTGTATATGTTGTGTGTCCGTTAGTATTCAAATTGCATCGCAAAAGTGTGTTTTAATTTGAAATTTATCGTTACTTATTAGTCGTTTGTCAAAGCTCCTACTAATTAGAACAGCAAGTTAATGTTTTTAATTAAAACTAAAGTGTACAAATTAAACAAAATCAAAAAAAAAGAATTATTAAAACAACAGTATGAAATAATTTGTGGGAAATACTATATACGGATGCATTATAAAAAAATAACGTTTTTTCCTTAATTATTAATTTCAACAGAAAGTGTTTTTCCCTCTAAATTGTACTCTCGTTCGTGCTGTTTTCATTTGTACACACAAAAGATATTTTTTAATTATTATAAATATTTTAATTCTTTTGTTCATTTTCTTTTCCGAAAAAATTCAATGTCAAGTTCATACAAAACAATTTTGTAGATAAAAGCTGAAGAAAAAGCAAGAAAAACAAAAATTGTGCTTAAGAAATTGTTTATTTATTTGTTTATGATTTTCAAAAATATTTTGTTGACATAAAAAAATGGTGTATGAGTCATCGTATGAAAGTGGACGCAGTCCCTTTTTACCCGATACCAAACGTGGTTATTGGGCCAATCCCAGTGATTTTATTTACGCCGGTCTGGGTTTGGCATTTCGTTTGGATGTATTTTCAATGTCATGGTTCTTTATGATGGAATCCAGTGGTAAGTAGATACTATGTTATTGAAATGATATATTCGGTTGTGTTGAATACACTCAAAGATTTAATATGATAATTTGTTATATCCACAACTCTAAACTGAAACATTTTCAGTGTGTACCTAGAACTTTTTTAGGGCCGGTTATATACTCCACAATAAGGGAAGAAAAGAAGCCTTAAGTGTAATTTCTTCCCTTATAGATAATTGTAAAATCCGATCAGCTGATGTGAATAAATAAGTGTAGACCGATATCGGACCTGTTGTGCACTCCCTTACTTGGAAAATTTTGCCGGGATAAAACTTATACTGTGCTCTTTAAAGGTATTATTTGTATCTGATATGCAAAAACTCAGTTACTTGAACGTAGTTCTCTAGAATAATATCAACCTCAAGATATTTAGATCTAATTTCGAAGAAAGTGGAACAATGATAAAGAAAGTGTTTCATCTGAGTCCGTTTGCCCAATTTTGTATAGTTTTGCCCGCGACCACTCAAAATACGTAACATTATAATAACCTCGTACTTGCTCGTTCTGAAAAGGTCTACTCTTGTTAGAATCACCTCATGTGATCTTTGTAGTTTTACCCATTGATCCTTTTGACAATGTTTTTAATTCAATCAAAATTGCGTTGAACGGTTTTGCATTCGTCAAGTTAACTTCCCCGAATTTCCTTCAATTATGATCAATTATGATTCCCTAGTGGCTTATTACCCGTGTTTTGTTAAGGAGTGTTCTGTTAAGGACCTCCTACAGTCCAATTCTGACACCAACTAAATAGATCTGTTAACCTCTGTTGGTGCAATTTTATTCCAATCCAGTTGGAAGAGTGTTTTGATAATCCACTGACTGGATTTTTAATGTATATATCCACGTCTCCATTTGTAGTCTGGTATTTGTTTCGATCATGATATTTTATTCAGAATGAGTGTATATATGTTTCCGACAAATTCAATGTTTCCAGAGTCTTGTTTGAATCAATGCTTATGGCCCCTCTGATACCCAATGGACATGTACGCTGAACTCCCTGCAGTAGCTTTATATTGCACTTTTTGTCCAAAGAACTCCTTCAGATTATTGCAGCATAACATAGGATCACGCCATTATAAAGCCAGTGTGTCAGTATATTTGTCCTATTTCGGGTCTATGGTTCTGTTACTGCTGTAGCAGTTACACGTGTAAAATCGGTGTAGCAGCTTGACAATCCTTGGTCGTAGTTCGTTGAACTACGAGTCATTCCGATTGTAGTGGGAACGAAAGTCTATGGTTCTGCTACATAGTGCTTAGGACCGATGTGCTTTGTTAATACTCTATGTAGTGCCTTCATTTACATATTCGGGTGTTAGTTTTAAATGGTCGGGATTATTATCATACTTATAATTTGTCGGTTTTAAAACTAAATTGTGCAAAACTTTATCACGATTGTTGCAAAATCTACAAATTGCTTAAAATAAGTATTTTCCGGGGAATATTTCTATAGCTGCTGGTTGAAATTCTGGATTGATATTGCTCATTTTCAATAAAAAACTTTATTAATAGAGAAATTTTGTGAAAATTTAATTCGTTCGGTTTTGAGCCAACTATTACATTTACAAAACTTTTTAATTACATTTCAATTGTATTTAAAAATTAATTACAATTATAAGTAATTGTAATGTGATATTGCTCAATTACGCATTACAAACTGTAATGCTGTTCTTCTTCTTTCAAGTAATCTTTTTTTGCACGCTTTTACTAACCGATATAAAAATATATACTTTTCTCAGAATTTCTGTAACGAAGTGTTTCATATTATTAATAACTTCTTAAATAAATAATGGTGTAAATGCGATTTAATCACGTATTTGTATAATTAATCATACAGAAATAATATGTTGATGTAATAAGTATTGTGGGCAGGAAATCTTATAATTTTATCGATATGTGACCCAACCTAATCTATATATACTAATAGAAGTACTATCAGCTTTATCACAATTTCATTACGCTATTTAAGTAAATATATATGTATTTCTTCGGTGACATCGCTTCAATTTGCACTTTTATTGCATTATAATTTTGAAATAATAATAATCATTTTACTTATTATAAATGAGTGACATTTCAAAGCCGCAAATTAATGATTATCGCAAATATTATCGAAACATTTTAATACAAATAAACAATTTGACCCGGCCTCTAATTAAAGAAATTGATTATATTCTCAGTGTGTTAAAATAAGTGATTTTTTCACATTTAAAAAGAATCTAAAATTGCTATTAAATTTTTAAAATGTTATTAGCGGGTTTCTGAACTTCTGACTATTAAATTAAAAGTACTCAAAAGAAATACGTTTTAAAAATCATATAAGCATTTTGATTAGCTATTCCTAATTAATTAAATACCATCATAAAGTAGAGTCCCCACAAACCTACTATTATTATTTTACCACATAAAAATCGTACCAGGTTTGAACTCTCAAATATACATATTATGCAAAAAATCTACTAAGGCCAACTTTAGAAAATGATTTTAAAATCGTCAAATTAATCGTCTATTAGACCCACAACTATTTAAAATTTCTAATAGAAGGTCCTCTACGAAAAACTATTTTGATTCTTCAAAACAATAATATAATGTCGATATTGTGATAAGCACTTTGCTCATGTACTCGAGCTATGCTTAACTTCCGAGATGTAAAAACATCACTTACGTTTACAACCATTCAGATGGGATGGCTTCTGTTGAGTCGGCAGCAGCACCAAGAGACGTAATCGGTAGATCGAGAGTCGAATCCATCAAATAAGCCGAGGACGTCTTTTTACTCATAGAGAACACACGGTGGTAAATCTAGTATGAACAGAGTAAACCTAGGGTTCTATAAATCGACTTTCAAACAATCGACTTTTTTGTCGAAAAGTCGAAGTCGACTATTTTGTTCCAAAAAAGTCGATAACTCGACAATCGCCTATGAAAAAGTTGAAAAGTTTATTTTGTAAATAAATAGTCGAAAAAGTCGTAAAAATGACGAAAAGTCGGAAAAAGTCGAAGATAGTCGGAAAAAGTCGAAAACTCGAAAATAGTAGAAAAAAGTCATAATTAGTCGAAAATTCGAAAAAAGGGGGAAAAAAGTCAAAAATTCTAAAATAGTCGGAAAAAGTCAAAAATAGTCTGAAAAACTCGAAAAAAGTCAAAAAATATTCGAAAAAAGTCAAAAGGTAGTCAAAAAATTCGAAAAAAAAGTCGAAAATAGTCGAAAAGTCGGAAAAGGTCGAAAATTTGAAAAAAGTCTAAAAGTTGAAAAAAAGTCGAAAAGTCGTCTAATTATAAAATACTTAAAGTTGAAAAGTGTAAAATTCGACTATAAATTAAATGACAAAAGTCGAAAAATCGACTTTTCAGAAAATGTTCATAAAAGTCGAAAAGTCGACTTTTCGTTTCAACTATAGAACCCTAAATAAACCATGAATATACCCGAACAATTAAGGAAAATTCAATGGTAACACTTGTTATATGATATCCATCACCATTCAACCTAGCACATTTCTCATTCATCCGACACACTCACTCTAGATATAAGGGTTGGAAAGGTCCGCATACCCCTACATCCATCCCGTATCATATACACTTTACATTATCTGTTGTCTCGGCAACAGCACCGAGCTTATTCCGAATTTGGGTTCAAACCACAACCATTACGTGCACTCCGAAGGGACCACTCCAATAACCGGGACAAGACATAGTGCGAAACTCTGCCCTGCGAGCTACCGGTTCCCGTTTTATCAGATTATATGGCTCTCAGTTTCGACTCCATGTCAAATCATTCCAAGGAAAGATCGAGGATTCATTTGGTCATCACCTGTTTATAGTCCCGGCAGACTAGAGGTATTGGTAGCCTCCCTTTTCCCCGGGATTGCAATAACACCAAAATGGGGAAAGTTCATCAAGATAACATATCCCCTGGGAGATAAAAGAAGTAAATTTAGATAAAATGTTAATTGTATAACACCCGTAATTTTACTTCCTGAGATCATGCCACTGCAATCACACATTATTTGCGAATTATAAAAAGGTCCTCAATACACTAGCCGTCAGCAATTGGGGCATGATAAACTTAATGGGTACCATACCTCATGAACCCGACCCAGCTTGTTGACTGGGGTCCCTTCATACTCATCACATAGGCAAGCATGCTTCACCTTGTCCAATATTTTACTGTCTCGTCGAAGTAGGACAATTTTAAGGTCTGGGCATCGATACACAACCTTCTGATTAGATTAGATTCAAAATAAAGGTTTAACATTAATTTTATTGTATCTGAATGCAAAACACAGCTTACTCCTGCAGAAAAGAGAACTTTGATC